CCCCCCCTCCAATCCAATCCCCTTCCCTTCCCTTCTCCTCACCTCCCCTCCCCCACACTAGAGCCAGGCACCCCTCACCCTGCTCTAACCTAATTCTCGGGAGCCGCCGCCGCTACAGCCACGCATCTCCCTCCAGGTGCTGGGGCGTGTGCGCTGAACAACCGGTGCACTGAGCGGCTGCCACACTGTGCACACCCCCCCAACCTCCCTCCTCTCCCCCAGAGCCAGGCACCTCCCCTTCCCGCTCTACCCAATCCCCCTTCCCCACTAACCTTATGCCCAGGTCCTGGAGCCGCCACTGGCGCCGCCGCCGCACCCGGAGCCGCTGCCACTGCCGCTGCCTGCTTTCAGCAGCTTGCTGCTAGCTCATGCAGCCTGGGATGCTGTGTGCGACCCGGCCTGCATGTGCAGGATATGACGCAGTGCGCTGGGGGCCATGAGTGGAACGGCGCGGGCCGTGGGCACGCATACGGCTTACAGCGGCCCGGACATGAGAGCGGCTGACCTGAGTGGTTCCGGGTTCCATCCCGGTTCCATCAGGTGCCGCAATTTTGCGGCTTTTTTTTTTTTTGTTTTTGTTTTTTCCCTTTACATATAAAAACAGCCATACTGAGTCAGACCAAAGGTCCATCTAGCCCAGTACCCTGTCTTTCAACAGTGGTCAATGCCAGGTGCCCCATAGAGAATGAACAGGACAGAGAATCAACAAATGATCCATCCCTTGTCATTCATTCCCAGATTCTGACAAACAGAGCCTAGAGACACTGTCCCTGCCCAGTCTGGCTAATAGTTATTGATGGATCTATCCTCTATATATGTATTTTGTTCTTTTTTAAACCCATTATAGTATTGGCCTTCACAACATCCACAGGCTGACTTCGTGTTGCGTGAAGAAATACTTCCTTTATTTGTTTTAATCCTGCTGCCTATTAATTTCATTGGGTGACCTCCTAGTTCTTGTCTTATGAGAAGGTGTAAATAGCACTTCCTTATCTACTTTCTCTAAGGCCCGGTCTACATTAAAGGAGAAAATCGACTTAAGATACGCAGCACTCACTGGAGTCGAAGTATCTTAAATCGCATTTTGGCGCCATCCACACAGCAGGAGTCTCCCTTCGACTTCCTTTACTCCTCACAGGAGCAAGACTGCTGGTATGGATGGGCGCGCCCTCTCAGTTTGAATTAGCGTGTTTTCATTACACCCACTAATTTGAAGCCTGGAAGATCGATTACGGCAGTCAAGCCCTAACTAGTTATGATGTTATAGACTTCAATCTCATCCCCATTTACTTTACTCATCTCCCCTTGTTCCAGTCTTATTAATCTCTCCTCATATGGTAAGTGGAAGTGTGAGGTGTGAGCTAGTTCCACAATGAATGGTCCATCAACAGACCCAACCACTCCATCACGCATGTCAAGCAACAGCCACACCCAATTCTTAAATACAAAATAGTTCTTCAGTTCAGATATATTCAGCTCATTTACGCTGTGCACAGTACAATGCACACCCATGTGTGCAATATAAATACTACACTACATCAATAAGGGAGCCTCAGAAGCAGCAGCAGAAGCCACTGTGGAATCAACAGCAACATTTCTCTACATCTGTCATTGCTGTTAAGGAGGAAATGGACATAGATATTACTGCCATCTTGTCTTTAGTCCTTGGACTTATCATTATCATGTATTTTTTGTTTCAGCCAAGAAACTCAAAGTCCCCACCTTGTATCAGTGGTTGGATCCCTTGGTTTGGAGCTGCGTTTCAGTTTGGGAGAGCTCCTCTGGAATTTGTAGAACAAGCCAGAATCAAGGTAATACACTTGTAGACAAAACTGTGTGTGAATAAGTAATTTATTAATGGAGAAAGTTCTTATGGGTCAGATGAAATCCTGCCCAGGTTTGCAGTGAATGAAAATTGTTAAATTCAGAAGTTTATGTGAATGGATTTGATGCATACAATTGGCTCCTATTTTGCAGTCTCAGAGAGTCCAAGTACATATTTTTTTTATCCTGGAAGCAGATCAAATGTGTATTAGTATTAGTGTCATACCTCACTGTACTATATAAATAGAATAAAAACATGTGATGTTGTTAAAACATTCTAGGGTCAAATTTTTAGAAATCAACTTTGTTTTTTGCAATTTAGGTTATTTAAAGGTCTAAATACCAAATTGCATCAAAATACTTCTGCAAGCAAAATAAAATTCATAAAAACAAGTCTAATTAAGATCAGGCTGAAAATGTTTCCTCATCATTCTGGTAATACATAATTTGAGCTATTCAGGCCTTTTAAACATTTTGAAAAGTTAGTCCTCAATCCAAGTCTCAAAAGTCATTGACCAAAATTCTGAGTGCAAGTAAATTGTTTTCACAACTGGAACCATTTAGATACTCAATTATCTGATTTATGGATGCAGTCAGTTAAGTAGGCTTCCAAATTAGTACATTTGCAGGTTCTGTTTAATTATGCCTATAACTTTGCACCTGTATGTGAATGCCAGTTCATCATTGTGCCCACAGTGTAGGAGGACGTTTTAAAAACTGAGCTCTTTCTGCATAACATATAATACATAAAGAAAAGAAAATGATAGTTCAACAAAAGGATGTCTCCATGAAAAGTTCTCTGCATAAATGTGAGTCAATTCATATTGCTCAGTGCTGGAAATTAACACACAACTGCATTGTGCTCGTACATGAGAACCAGATAGTGAAACTTACAGGACTTCTTGCATTATCCATGGAAATGTAAAAGGTTAAACCCAAAGCATTTTGAGCTGATTTAAAGTCCCATCACTAGCAATACAATAAGTAAAGATTAGTTTTATTTACTGTCCATTTCATTAAATCACTTTTACATTAGTACAAATCCATTGAAAATGTTCCCCCACAAAATGTTCCGTTCAACAAAGTTAATACTATCATGGTTTTGTGGACATTATTTTGCATTCAGCGACAAGGAGTCCTGTAACACCTTATAGATTAACAGATGTATTGGAGCATAAGCTTTTGTGGGCAAAGACCCACTTTGTCAGATGCATGTGATGAAGTGGGTCTTTGCCCACGAAAGCTTATGCTCCAATACATCTGTTAGTCTATAAGGTGCTACAGGACTCCTTGTCACTTTTGCAGATCCAGACTAACACGGCTATTCCTCTGATATTTTGCACTCAGTTATTTGTGGATATAGTCTGCTATATAGGCATCTAAATGACCAAAATTACAAAAACAAAGTCAACTTCTAAAATACCTGGCCCCATAATGTTTTAACACCATGATCTATTATGTAAAACTGTAATAGCAGAGTGCAGAATCAGACTCATAATTTTTCATTTTGGCAGTGTCAATTTAAAGTGTGTTTTAACGTGTGATTAATTGGTAAAGTTATGGGAAATATCTTGCTCCTCTGTTCAACTCACTAAGAATACAGCTATATTTGTCAGGGTATTTTTTGTTATTGTTTGTTATAGTACGGACCTGTATTCACCATGTACATCCTAGGAAATCGATTCACTTTTGTGTCTGAGACAGAGGATGTCCTTGCCTTTCTGAGGTCTAAAGAAGTAGATTTGGACGAGGCAATGCAGCAAGCCGTCAAACGCACAGGTACAGGATATTCTCTAACGCAGACCTCAAATCTGGTCACACATCCAGATTAAGAAGCTTATTTGGATCCAAGGTCAAGTCACAAACTTAAGGAGAAGATTCCAGTACATCAAAATATGGGGCTAGATGCTCAGCTGGTGTAAACTGGCATATCTCCATTTGGCTTCTGATGCATTGTTTTAAGTAGTGCCCAAAATCTCAATTCAGGTTCCGCAGGGGACATCTACACTGCAATAACAAATTGGCAGCCCTGAGTTTCAAAGCTCCCATCAGCTGGGTGGGGTTCACAGGGCTCAGATTGCAGGATTCTGAGACCTTCCTCCTTGGCAGTGTCTCAGAGCCTGGGCTCCAGCCTGAGGCCAAACATCGGCACTGCTATTTTATGGGCCTACAAGCCCGAGTCGGTGGACCTGTAGCCTGCTGCAGCCATGGCGTGGGTCTTTTATTGCAGTGTAGACATAACCTTGCTGTTAGATGTTGAAAACCAGAGGGGACAGTTTGCCAACGAGCTTTGTTTCAGTCCTCTAGAGGGAGTGATTGTAACCTTTTGAGCACTCCCTACAACTCGGCCAAGAAGACCAAATAGACCTATGCCATCTGCTACTGTGGCAACAGCAGCCACCAGTGCCCAGGGCCCTTTAAATCACTGCCAGAGCGCTGCACAGTGCACTCCAGGCAACACTGAAGGTGGGGCGCTCTCTGGGAGGCACAAAGGACTCATTAACCCCAGCTCTGCTCCTTTCACTTGTAACCTCGCCTCTTCTGGGGGCGCAGAGCAGGTTCCCCACTTGATCCTAGCGTCAGTGGACATGGAGAATAATTGATCACTTTTCTCTTTAAAACAGCTCTTAACATACCTGAAGCCTTATCAGGTCCCCCCTTAATCTTGTTTTCTCCAAACAGAACATACTCCTGTTATTTAATCTTTTCTTGTAGGTCAGGGTTTCTACACTTTCTAATTTGCCCATATTTTTCTTAAAGTATGGCACTCAAATCTGGGCCCAATACTCCAGCTAAGGACTCACCAGAGAGTAGTAGAGCAGGACAATTAATTTGTGTGTGTTTCATATGACAATTCTGTTGATACACCCCAGAATATTAGCTTTTTTTTTTTTTACAACTGCATCACACTGTTGGCTCATATTTAATTTGTGGTAATTAGAACCACCAGACCCTTTTCTGCAGTGCTATTATCTAGCCTCGTTATGTATTTGTGCATTTAATTTTTCCTTTCTGCATGTAGTGCTGTGCCCTTTCCTTCTTACTGAATTTCATCGTTTTGATTTCAGAGCATTTCTCCAATTTATCAAGGGCATTTGGAATTCTCAATGTGTCTTTCAAAGTGCTTGCAGACCCTCCCAGCTTTGTGTCATCCACAACATTTATAAGCAGGGCTCGACAAACTATAGACAAACTATATACATTCAGCCGCACGCCCTGTTTATTGGCGGCGCGCTCATGCACAATTCTGCTCTTGCGCATGAACAGAGTAGGCCTGGCGAGTGGCTTTCACCACCGTTTGTCAAGCCCTGTTTATAAGCATACCTCCATTCCATTCAATGTTTTCATGAATGACTTGTGTAGTCATTGTATATATGTATACATTGTCTTCTTGTATTCTGGCCTTTATACTTGTATGCTGGCCTTCAAATTTGACACTATAGAATCACAGAATCATAGAACACTAGAACTGGAAGGGATCTCGAGAAGTCATCGAGTCCAGTCCCCTGTCCTCACAACAGGACCAAGCACCATCTAGATCATCCCTGATAGATGTCTATCATGGGGGCAGGGGACTGGACTTGATGACCTCTCGAGGTCCCATCCAGTCCTAATATTCTATGATTCTATCTAACCTGCTCTTACATATCTCCAGAGATGGGGATTCCACAGCCTCCCTAGGCAACTTATTCCAGTGTTTCACCACCGTGACAGCTAGGAAGTTTTTCTCTCATGGCCTGAACAAAGTTATGAACTGCATGGACCATTATATGCAACACCCAAATGACATCAAAAGCTAAGTATGGGACACTTCCATCCCACTCAATTAGCCTCATTAGTACAGGCACTACAATTGACAGGTGACCCCCCCCCCTTCTTTTTCTGTTGTAAATTGGGATGCTCCCCTTTTTTTTTCTCCACTCTCATCTGAGGAAGCAGGTTTTGCCCACCAAAGCTCATAATACTATATATTTGTTAGTCTCTAAGGGTACGTCTAGACTACAGGGTTTTGTCGACAGAAGTTTTGTCGACAGATACTGTCGACAAAGCTTCTGTCGACAAAGAGCATCTAGACTACATCCAGTTCTGTCAACAAAGCAAGCCACTTTGTTGACATAACAGTGTGGACGCAAAGGACAGTGTAGATGCAATAATGCCTTCAATCGACAGAACTCTATCGACAAAAGGCGTTATTCCTCGTAGAATGAGGTTTACATCCGTCGACATATCTGAAAGGCAGTGTGGACGCAGGTATAGTTTTGTCGACAAAAGTCCACTTTTGTCGACAAAACATTGTAGTCTAGACACACCATAAGGTGCTACATGACTACTTGCTGGGTTTTTTAAGTTACAGGCTAACATGGCTACTCCTCTGAGACTTGTATAGTGCCAGACAAGACAAACCTCTCTAGGATCTCACTAGGAACATCCTCCCAGTTTAACAGTAAATCATTGACAATTATGCTTTGAGTATGACTTTTCAGCCAGTTGTGCATTCACCTTGCAGCAGTTTTCTTTAGATCACATTTCCCATATTTGCTGTGCTAACATCAAGATATATGACATCAGCTTCCCTCCACCCAGTACACTAGTAACCCTGTGAAAGAAGGAAATTAGGTTGATCTGGTCTGGTTGGTTCTTGGCAATCCATGTTGACTGATACTTATCAGCCTGTTGCCCTGTAGGTGCTTACAGATTGATTCTTTAATCATGTCTTCTAGTATCTTTCCTGGCATGAAGATTAGGCTGACAGATCTATAATAAAAATTTCCCTTCCCATCAGTAAAATTCAGCTTTAGTGGGTGGGAATTGTTGGATTTCAAAAATGATGTATATTTTCTATTTAAGTTTCAATCTCCAAAGAAAGCTTTAATCAGAATCGCATTAGTCTCTTCAAATTGCTAACACAACAACTGAGTTCCTCTAACATGCATCAGTTCTCTGAGACTCTGTGTAAAGAATTCCATGAGCATATGGAGCACTTGGGCAAAGAAGGATCAGAGGACCTCAATCTCCTAGTAAGGTTTGTGGATTTACAATCTAGTTCTATTACACAGATATCCAGTATGTTTATTAAACACCTAAGTATTTATTTATGGTGGGTGAAATTCATGCCCACATTGAGTATCTACACAAAAATATACATTTAATACACATTGAACATTGATTTGGGGGGTTTCATGGGAACTGAATGATCCAAGGATCTTTGTGCTAGCCCTCTGGAGCAAATTTCACCCGGAGTGCTTTGTGAGCCATAATGGAATCTAATTCATCTTCCCATGACAGTGTTGTTTCTGCAGGGCTTACATGAGTAAAAAGTTGTTAATTTCTTTTAAGTTAGCAGTTCTGATTCTTTTATAGGTAAGCATCTGATCTGCTGAATGAGATGGTTCTATTTTAAATAAAAGACAGGACTATGCAGCACTTGAAAGACTAACAAGATGGTTTATTAGGTGATGAGCTTTCGTAGGCCAGACCCACTTCCTCAGACCCACTTCCCCAGGCCCACGAAAGCTCATCACCTAATAAACCATCTTGTTAGTCTTTCAAGTGCTGTATAGTCCTGTTTTTTGTTTCAGCAAGACCAGACTAACACAGCTACATCTCTATTTCTATTTTAAACAGTCACTTTCCCCACCAGAACCATGCTTAAATACTCGTATGCTAACCAGAGAGATTACATTCTTGTCTATAAAATGTTTGATTGCTTTTACCCTTCTTTTTTCACAGGCATGTCATGTATCCAACAATAACAAAAACTCTGTTTGGGAAAAGCTTCTATCCAACTGACAAGAGCACAATTGATGAGTTTGAAAGGCATTTTCAGATATATGATGAAGGATTTGAATTGGGATCCCAGATGCCAGAATTTTTTTTAAGGTGAGTTTTATGCTTCATAAATTGTCTCCTAAGGTGCATTTAAAATACATTTCCAGTTATTATCTTTCCCTCTCACAGGAACTGGTCTAAATCCAAAACATGGTTACTTAAAGCATTTGAAAGGATTGCAACAGACATAAAGAAACACAAAACTTCAGAAAGTGACTCTAAGGTAAATCTACCAAAGGACATTTTTTAATAAAATGCCAGGTTAGCATTGGTATAGTTGTGGGCTAGTCATTTTAAAAAATGACTATTGATTTTGGGTGCCTCCATTTTAGAATGCTCAAGCTAAGACATTTTTGTAAGACCCAAGAGCGTGAAAACTTAAAAGGATGGAATTCTCTGGTATCTCTATTGGAGAAAATTCAGCTGTGGTCAGTTTCAGTTACATGAATTAAATTATACTTGCCCCACAATTCCAGCTTCCACGATTTGTTCAAAGTTCAAGCTGAACAGGAGGGAGGGGGAAAGGGCTGTATCCTAATACCCAGGACTGTTAAGTAACAGGACTTTTTTAATCAATAAATTAATGTGCTAATCCTGTAGGCAGAGTATGTTAGCAAACCATTCCTTAAGTCAACATCTAATGTATGTATCCATCCTCTTTATGCAAGACACTAATGCAACATGTCCTGGACAATTTGCATGGAAATGGAGCTGCTGGTTATTTGCTGCTTTTGTTCTGGGCTGCCCAAGTTAACGCTGTTGCGGTAAGTACACTGGCTGAGAAATGCTTTCTTGTATTTCTGATTTGTTAGAAAAAGACAGGGAAAATATAAGAGTTATATCTGGCAGATTTATTAAAAGAGTAAATAAGCTTGTTATGTCTACACTGAAGCTTGTCTACACTGAAAATGCTACAGCAGCACTACTGCAGCTGCACCACTGTAGTGTTTCAATGCATACAGTACCTATAAGGATGCAACTTAAGTTGTCTTAACTACACCACTCAGAGTTTTTCACACCCGCGAGCAACATAGTTATGCTGACCTAATCTTCTAGTGCAGACAGCATCAATATTTAACAGAAAGGAATTCAAATTCAATACTAATAAGGAAAGGTCTTATTCTCCCCTCCCCATTTATTTCTTCCACATTCAACAGTCAGTAACATGTACAAAATAGCAAAGGCTGGCAGGCAGCTTGTGGACAGGAAACTCTTAGGACTTCTCCAACTTCCTTTGGTAGAGCAGGGTCCAATTAGCTCACAAAGCAACAGGGAAATCTCCCAGGAGATCTCTGATCCCCAGCCAGACACAGTTGCAACAGAACATCTTTGTGCTGTGAAGGCAAGACCTGACTTTTTGCTATTGTTCTTGGCATTCTCCTCCATCCACACATACTATGTCACCTCCTCTATTTAAATACCCCTTTGATGGTGCTGGCACTGCTGAGGAGCAGCATAATGAATTGTTAGTGCTGCTACCAGAGAAGGGAAGATACTGCTGGCATCACAGAGCTTTTCCACCAGGTCAGAGGTGCCTCCTCAGGTGATGACCTTGAAAATCCCATTCTGCATCTCATGGAGTTCCTCACACAGCAGGGCAACATGCTGCAGGCCATCCGAATGGCTTGTATAAAGAGTGCCCAACGTGGCCTCCTCACTGGACTCAGGTGGTAGCAGCACATGGAAGATATTTCAGCAAATGCTCAGGCTCTCGCACTGTACATTGGATGTTGTAGAAAGCCTCACTGAACACAGGCATTATTTTTCTGCAGGGGCGGATGAGAGTTTTGCAGGGCCCAGGGCAGCATAATTACGTGGGGGTTCTCTTTGGAGAAAAAAATAGAAAAAAGGCGTCCCCCCCTGTGCCCACTCCTCCAGTAGCCCCACTCTGATCATGTGAGCTACTCCTCCTCATCCCCTCTCCTAACACCTCCCTCTACAAACCTCCCCTGCAGGTGTCTGTCCTTCTGCTTCACCCCCAGAATCCCCTGGCACTTGCACCTTCCCTTACCCCTGCACCTTCCTGATTCCTCCCCCTTCCCTCACTGCCCCTGTGCCCTTTGCCCTCTTTTTCCCTGATGCCCACTCCCTCACCACCCGCTGCCCCCATTCCGCTCATGCCCCTGTGTCCTCACACATGACTTGGTCCATCCCCACCTTCCTCATGCCCACCCCTCCTTTCAAGCCTTCTCCCAGCACCTTCCCCTCCCCCCTTTAGTCCCCAATGCCCTTACCCCCTCCTCTTTCAGCATCACCCTGTCCCCCCTCCCACTGACACCTCCCTTCCTGCCCTTTTCCTCATTGTCTCCACTTGGCCCCCTGGCATTTGTCTCTCCTCCTCTTTCTTCTCCTGACCTGCCCTCCTCCCCTCTGTACAAGCCCCTTCCTCTGCCATCCACCTTCTGCCTTCCAGTGTGCAGAAGAACTTTTCTTTATGCACCCTCTCCACGCCACTCATGCTTTTCATAGAATCATAGAATAATAGGACTGGAAGGGACCTCAAGAGGTCATCGAGTCCAGCCCCCCGCCCTCAAGGCAGGATCAAGCTCTGTCTACACCATCCCTGACAGATGTCTATCTAACCTGTTCTTAAATATCTCCAGAGAGGGAGATTCCACCACCTCCCTTGGCAATTTATTCCAATATTTGACCACCCTGACAGTTAGGAATTTTTTCCTAATGTCCAATCTAAACCTCCCCTGCTGCACTTTAAGCCCATTACTCCTTGTCCTGTCCTCAGAAACCAAGAGGAACAAATTTTCTCCTTCCTCCTTGTGACACCCTTTTAGATATTTGAAAACCGCTATCATGTCCCCCCTTAATCTTCTTTTTTCCAAACTAAACAAGCCCAGTTCATGAAGCCTGGCTTCATAGGTCATGTTCTCTAAACCTTTAATCATTCTTGTTGCTCTTCTCTGTACCCTTTCCAATTTCTCCACATCTTTCTTGAAATGTGGCGCCCAGAACTGGACACAGTACTCCAGCTGAGGCCTAACTAGTGCAGAGTAGAGCGGCAGAATGACTTCACGAGTTTTGCTTACAACACACCTGTTGATACAACCTAGAATCATATTTGCTTTTTTTGCAACAGCATCACACTGTTGACTCATATTCAACTTGTGGTCCACTATGACCCCTAGATCCCTTTCTGCCATGCTCCTTCCTAGACAGTCGCTTCCCATCTTGTATGTATGGAACTGATTGTTCCTTCCTAAGTGGAGCACTTTGCATTTCTCTTTATTAAACCTCATCCTGTTTACCTCTGACCATTTCTCTAACTTGCTAAGGTCATTTTGAATTATGTCCCTATCCTCCAAAGAAGTTGCAACCCCACCCAGTTTGGTATCATCTGCAAACTTAATAAGCGTACTCTCTATCCCAATATCTACATCATTGATGAAGATATTGAACAGTATGGGTCCCAAAACAGACCCTTGAGGAACTCCACTTGTTATCCCTTTCCAGCAGGATTTAGAACCGTTAACAACAACTCTCTGACTACGGTTATCCAGCCAATTATGCACCCACCTTATCGTGGCCCTATCTAAGTTATATTTGCCTAGTTTATCAATAAGAATATCATGCGAGACCGTATCAAATGCCTTACTAAAGTCTAGGTATATGACATCCACCGCTTCTCCCTTATCCACAAGGCTCGTTATCTTATCAAAGAAAGCTATCAGATTAGTTTGGCATGACTTGTTCTTCACAAACCCATGCTGGCTATTCCCTATCACTTTATTACCTTCCAAGTGTTTGCATATGATTTCCTTAATTACCTGCTCCATTATCTTCCCTGGGACAGACGTTAAACTGACCGGTCTGTAGTTTCCTGGGTTGTTCTTATTCCCCTTTTTATAGATGGGCACAATATTTGCCCTTTTCCAGTCTTCTGGAATCTCCCCTGTCTGCCATGATTTTTCAAAGATCATAGCTAAAGGCTCAGATACCTCCTCTATCAGCTCCTTGAGTATCCTGGGATGCATTTCATCAGGACCTGGTGACTTGCTGACATCTAACTTTCCTAAGTGATTTTTAACTTGTTCTTTGTGTATCCTATCTTCTAAACTTACCCTCTCTCTGCTTGTATTCACTACGTTAGGCACACCTCCAGACTTCTCGGTGAAGACCGAAACAAAGAAGTCATTGAGCATCTCCGCCATTTCCAAGTTTCCTGTTACTGCTTCTCCCTCCTCACTAAGCAGTGGGCCTACCCTGTCCTTGGTCTTCCTCTTGCTTTTAATGTATTTATAAAAGGTCTTCTTGTTTCCCTTTATGCCTGTAGCTAGTTTGATCTCATTTTGTGCCTTTGCCTTTCTAATCTTGCCCCTGCATTCCTGTGTTGCTTGCCTATATTCATCCTTTGTTATTTGTCCTAGTTTCCATTTTTTATATGACTCCTTTTTTATTTTGAGATTGTGCAAGATCTCCTTGTTAAGCCAAGCTGGTCTTTTGCCATATTTTCTATCTTTCCTACACAGCGGAATTGTTTGCTTTTGGGCCCTTAACAACGTCCCTTTGAAATACTTCCAACTCTCCTCAGTTGTTTTTCCCTTCAGTCTTGCTTCCCATGGGACCTTACCTACAAGTTCTCTGAGCTTATCAAAATCTGCCTTCCTGAAATCCATTACCTCACTTGTGCTGGTCTCCCTTCTACCTTTCCTTAAGATCATGAACTCTATTATTTCATGATCACCGATCCTTCCAGTTTGCAGGTTGGCTGCGACCCCAGCCCAGGCTCCAGACCATGTCCCAAACCAAGCGGTGCAATACTGGGCTGCACGGTTTTAAAGTCCCAGGCCGTGACGTCATGCCACGCACGGGCGTCTCCCCTCTCAGCGGTTGCACGGCATTTCAGCACGCCGCACATGTGCTCCCTCAGCCCCACATGGCCCGTACTGGCTAGCTCCATGAAATTTAAAGTGCGGGGCTGCGGCGCCCTGTCACAATCCCCCTCCTCCTCCAGCAGCCACCAGCTGGCCCTTCGGCGGACAGCCCACTGGGAAATTCCTGGTATCCCACTGGTCCAGTCCGCCCCTGGTGCTGGCGTGGAGCCTACTGAAGCGCGGGGCCTGGGGCAGCTGTCCCGCTCACCCTGCCCTATATCTGCCGCTGTTTTTCTGTCACCCATTTCAGACCTGAGTGACTGGTCAAAGTTCTGGGGAATGTTCCAGCGGGAGTAGAAATGGATGATGGAGTTTGGGAAAGTATTTTCTTGGAAGCAATATTGCTTATCTGCAAGGAATGTATGAGGAGCTGCTGCTTCAAACTCAGGCCTCGTTAGCCAGCACCAGAACCAGAAGTTCTCTCTCTAGTTTCTTCCAGCATCATGCCATGCTTACAGGCTTCTCCTTGGATTTCTTCAAGCTAACTCCATCGCATACATGCCCTTACCCAAAACAAAATTCAACCCCTCCTCCCACACCGTCCACCCACAAATTCTAAAACTCCTGGGCAGGGTCACATGCACTCCCTTTGTTTTACATGGGGCCATGTGATTAGCTTAACCTTGTACTTATGTTAATTGAAGGATGCATGGCATCCATCAACCTCCATGAAGCTTTAATTAAATTCTTAATGAGGTTTCACCCAACTCATAACATTTCCATCCCATGTCTCTTGGCTGCAGTCACTAAATACAACATTGGACACACATTTCTGATAGTACAGTGGTCAGCGGTGGTTGGATTCTTGGTTTTGAGTCTATCCTTTATAAAGATAAAACTTAAAAAACAACAGATAGACTAGTAGCACCTTAAAGACTAACAAAGCATGTAGATGGTGTCATGAGCTTTTATGAGCGCAACTCACTTCTTCAGATGTCATCATGCAGCTGCCTCAGGTGCCAGACTGTGCGGGGGGTGCCACTAGGACCCAGAGTGTATAAAAATTGTGTCTGCTGCTGGTGCATATGTATTCTCTCTGCACTAGATGCACAGAGATGGTGGAGTGCCATAAGAGTAGAACAGAAAGAAGGTAGAATTGAGACTTTTCAAAGTTTTGGCCCAAGCGAGGGGGCATGGGGGCATCATTTGAGCTCCCCACCTCAGGTGCCAAAATGTTGTGGGCCGGCCCCGCTAGTCTATTAGTCTGTAACAGAGAAAACTTAAAAAACAACAAACTCGGCTACCCCCTGAAGCTTTATAAAGATAGGAACCATGTGGAAAGTTCATAGTTGAATTGGGATTCTGAGCAGCCTGGATTTTTGGAGGGATACAGGCTGTTCAGTTCAGGCCCATCAGTAGTTTTGGAATAACAAGTAATTTTTTCATTTGAAATAAATATGTTGGAGTGTAGGCGAGTTTCCCAATCGGCTTCAGGGCATACAAACACTTCCCTCTGAAGTGGACAGCTGTAATGATATCCATTTCAATGGGAGCCAGAATAGGACCTAGTTTCGCTAGCCACATAGCTGTGCCAAAGTTGGCAGTTTCATTTTACTAGGTTGTAAGAAGGTCAGCTGCCCCTTGAGCACCTGGTCATGGAAAGATGTTGCTTTGCCATTCCTTGCCTCAATTCCTCTTCCTGGACTTCTCTGCGGGAGCCTCACTCACTCACTGCAGCTTCTGTTGATTTTAGGGGAATCACTTCTCTGTCTAGCGTAACTCTTCAGGAGTCAAGCTTGGCTTGCTCCATGCCTCCGGGCCATAGGGTTAAGCTTCCCTGTTCCAAGGGAACATTGTGGGACCGATTCACCAGTGCTCTCTGGCTGCTTTGCACCACTCAGCAGCCATAAACATGGTAAACCTTCCAGAGGATCATCCCACAGGAGCTGGAGCAAACTGGTGAATCTAGTCCCCATGTTTGGTTTTGGCACCTGTGCTTTTGCATCACAACTTCCGTTTTGAGTTCTGTATTTGGGCAGCCCCCAAAACTCAGAGCAATCTGCTGTGTTTCCGTTCATATTATACCACAAACACGAGAAACTGTGAAATACTCCATGACCCCTAGAGTCATTTGAAACCAGGCTCTGGTTCACTGCAATGGTTTATAATCTTAGCAAATCCTTGATGAATCAGGTAAGTGACATGGGGTATGTCTATACTGCATGCCGATTTCAAAATAATCTATTCCAGAATAGTAATTCTGAAATAGCTTATTTCAAAATAACATGTCCACACAGCTGGGAAGCCTCCAAATTAGTCCAAGGCAGGCTTCCCTAATGTAGATGTACTATCTCGATTTAAAGCCCCAGGCGGCACTTGGGATGAATAACTTAGAATGGTCCAGGTGAGGGACTATTTTGAAATATCAGCAGTAGAGCATCTACGCACGCCTTATTTTGAAACAGCTATTTTTGAATAGGCGTTATTCCTCATAGAATGAGGTTTACAGATTTTGGAATAAGCTGTCCATTATTTCAAAATTATTTCAAAATAACAGAATGGCTGTGTAGATGCTCGCATTGTTATTTCAAAATAACACTTGTTATCTCAAAATAATCGTGTAGTGTAGACGCACCAATGGTGCTTTGTTGTGAAAACAGTTCTAGCTGCCAGCTTCTCTTCTTTTACCCATTTGTAGACACAGAATGCTTAATTTTTAAAGGTGCTGGCCTCTCATAACTCCAGGGGAAGATAAAAAGGGCTCAGGTTTCACTCTGAAAACCAGGCCTGTAACTTATACTGCTTTCTTTTAAAACATGTTATATTTAATTGCATTACCAGCCCTGCCAACCTTATTCACCTAGAAGCCTTGTTCACTAGATAAGGATTACTCATGTGAATAAAATAAGCAGGCTCTGACTCATTATAATGACAGTTTTAATTTACCAGAATTGAAGATCACAGAGGTAATTTTTGTGTCTTTTTAGGGTGCCTTTTGGACCCTGGCATTTATACTCTCCAATCCATCTCTTTACAAGGACATCATGGAAGACATAGTTTCTGTTTATGGCAAAGCAGGTAATAAGTCAGAAATAAGTGACTGCTGTGGTATTGGAACAGAAAATAAAACCACAGTTAACATACAACCAAAACTAGCAAAATCCTCATTCAGAGTTTGCTCTGCCATTACTCAGCCTGAATAAGGTCTTGAGGCCCACCTCTCGGAGATGTGCTTCACTTTCCTTGATTTCTATGGGAATGAGGCATCTAAATGCTGCTCAGGATCTGGGCTTGAATAAAGTCAGGACAACTATTTCTGGATTTAGCCTCCAGTGATTTGGCCCTTATATGTGTGTAAACGCATGAATATCTTCAGCTAAATGACATTTCTTTCATGTGTGCTGTTCCTGTAGACTCTCAGGGGCTTCTGTGAGCGCCAGCCTTATTGAAGTTAATAGGACCCCTGTAATACTGAACTCAAACAAGTGTGTGGAATAGTCACACTGGGTCCTTACTACTGGTTTGTGCCATCTACCCCAATGCAAAATGGCCTCAGCACAGAGGTGAAATATGTCTCTTCCCACCCCCACAGTACAAAGTGGGTTCAAATTACTCCCATTCTGTTTTGCACTTTTCTAAACTGAAAGGGGGCTGGCATATGACTATTCTCTGTCTGTGGCATGCCATCTTGTTTCAACAGAGAAAACCAGGATTGAAGTTGTTGAAGATGACCTTCAGAAGCTTGTATCAATTAAGCGGTGTGTTTTAGAAGCCTTGCGGCTAATGGCCCCAGGTGCAATCATAAGGAAAGCAATGAAGCCACTAAAAGTTAAGGTGTGTATTATTTTAAATGGGCTTTGCATTTTCTTGTAAGCCTTCTAGAAATAGATGCCACCAGTTCATTCAGATTGTCTAGCCCATTATTTTAGAACTCTATGGTAGTTACAATAATAGCCCTGCCAATAAAAATGGGTATTGGGAAAACAATCCAAAAATGTGTAAAATCACAAACAGAATTAATTTTCTTAAATTCACAGATTCCAAGGCCAGAAGGGACCATTGTGATCAGTCAGAGAAGACTGAGAGGGGACATAATTTTGAAGTATAGAAAAGGTTGTTACAAGGAGCAGAAAGAAAAAATGTTCTTACCCTCAGAGGATAGGACAAGAAGCAATAGGCTTAAATTGCAGCATGAGTTGTTTAAGTGGGACATGAGGAAAAACTTCCTACCTGTCAGGATAGTTAAGCATTGGATTAAATTACCTACCATGGTTGTGGAATCTTCATCCTTGGAGATGTAAAAGAGCAGATTAGACAAAACACCTGTCAGGGATGGTCTAGAAATCCTGTCATGAGTGCAGGGGACTGGACTAGATGACCTTTAGAAGTTCCTTTCGATTCCATGATTGTTCCAGAAGCAGCTGCACTGAACTCAATTAGACTGCTTTGGGACCAAGGAATTGCTCACTGTAAGGGAAGCAGAATGCTTAAAATTAAACATTAAAAAATGTCTCTCTCACAAAACAGAAGTTGGCCCAATAAAATATATTACCATCCCCTACCCCCTTGTCTCTCTAATATCCTGGGACCAACCTGAATACAACATTGCTATTTTTAATTGTTTGGGTTTTTTAAAAGTAATGCAGGAACATTTATATGTTCTTAATTAAAATAAAATGGCAGATTTACTCCTTGAAGAGTTTTTCATGATTAGTGGAGATTAAATGTTACCATTGTAACACCTGCTGTGACAATGGGACGGTAATCATTTTCAGTCTTGTCTCTCCCACCCTCAAGATTCCCTCTCACTCTGGTAAAGGACAAAAACGGAAAGGCTACTACACAGTCTGAACTCTGCCTCCCAGGAGCTGGCTCCAGTGACTGGACACAATGAGTGTGCGTGGCAGCTGTGTTCACGGCGTCAATTGTAGCTGTATTGTGTGGCAGAGGGACTGCGTGCAGCAGCTTGGCAAAGCAGGGCACAGAGTCGTCTGAGGAGCCTTGGCAGAGCTGCAGTTGTGATGGAGGAAATTTGTGAGGGCTCTGCACTCTGGGACTATGTCTAAACTGACCCCGTTTTGCACAAGAAATATGCAAATGAGGCTAAGCATGGAATATTGCCGAGCCTCATTTGTGTAATTAACGAGCACCCGCTTTTTGCGCAAGAGGCTTTTGCGCATAAAGGAAATGTCTACACGGCTCCTTTTTGTGCAAAATCCCCCTCTTGTTCAAGAGCCTTTTTTCCGAAAAAAAATGCGGAAGAAAAACAAAAAGCGGGTGCTCATTAATTATGCAAATGAGGCTCGGCGATATTCCACGCATAGCCTCATTTGCATATTTCTTGCGCAAAACGGGGGCAATATGGACATAACCTCAGTGGTCTGATCCACTCCTCCTATGTTTATTTAAAGGAAAGGGCTGCATGTGTAATTTAAAAGATCCATTCTGCCTAATTTCTGTGGTCAATTCGTTAGGATCAGACACCAGCAGTGCAAAGGGATTTTCCTGACAGGGTGATTCTACTATCTATGGGGTGGGAAAGTGGGAGGACAGTTGCTGTAGTATGCAGTCAAGGTACTAACAAACTTCAAGAGGACTTTATTTACCAAAAGCGAAGCCTCTTTATAAAGTTGCTGCACCCCTTTGTAGCCAGGGGCGGCCCATGAACCTAGGCAGAGTTGGTGGTCGCCTAGGGCGCTGCCAGCTCGGGGTGCCCGATGATGACGTCACAGGGCACCCGGGCACCCGATGATGATGTCACGGCCATTGCCAGCCGTGCAGGTGGGGGCGCCAATCGTGCCTTCCGCCTGGGGTGCCAGCTGCCACAGCCAGCCTCGGGCCACTCCTGTCTGTAGCTCTCACCTTTCACTCAGCCCTGGCTAATCTTCTCCCCCCCTCCTTCCTGTTTTCTGTGCTTCCAGACTCCCAACAGCCAGTGCTCCCACTTCTAATAACTACAAGCAGCATTTAAAACACCACAACAATGTTCAATGAACTCCTGTGGGTGAACTCAGAGGTGCTCTAACGGAGGCAATGGTGGGGTTGGCAGAGTAGAGGTGGGTGTGCTAATAGGGTCTGGTGGGGCACTGCTTTTGAGAGGGTTGTTTTGCTGAAAGCATTATTCTGCAAGAGGACAATGTACCTCCAGACAACCTTAATTGTGCATTAATTAACTCTTGGGGCCTTTAATTTCCTGGATATTTTTAAAAACAAGCTACCCTCGTATAATTATTTAGGTAAGGAAATGAAGGCTAAGAACTGCAGTGATTTGCATGAGCTTTTCTCCCAGGCCAGGACCAGAGCCAGAAAGAAAAGCCAGGTCTTCTGAGTGCCAATTCACTGTTCTCTCTACTAGGCCACATCGTGATTTCTAAATGTGCCCCAGCCTAACTCTATGAGCTGGGGAGTAATGGGATGGAGCTGCTGGTTACTCTTTTGTAGTGTTTGGGGTATAGAGTTGCTGAATGTAATCACATTTTCAGCCTCTATTTTAAAAAAGCACAAACATTCTATATTTTTCATATTATATCCTCAAACCTATTCCATGCATCCTACCTTGTATCAGCTTCATTGTCAAGGTGAGTCATCTAAAAAAAGGAGAGCATGTTGATGGTATTATTTACATAGCACATTAGGGGCCTGAGAGTCTGTATGGTGGAAAAGTGTGCAAACTGCCTGAAAAGTTTAGTGTACTGATAAAAGTGTTAAAAAACAATGACTGTACGTTGCCCGTTATTGATGAAAATATGGGGTGTCATCAGTCAGGGTTTCAGAGCTGTCCTGGTGGGTTCCTGACAGGTCCTCTACTCCGTTGGTGATGATAAACTTTCAGCTGTGCGCATACATGCGTGTACTCCCTCTACCTAAAGCATTAAACCCTGTGCACTTGGGTCAATACAGTAGACCTATGAGAGCCCCCGGAAATGACAGATTCAGGCAAGTATGAAACCAATCGAGCAGCTTTATTGCCAAACGCTATGCATTAACAGTTATTAGCAGACACTCTCAACGCTAAGCCATTGTGCATTCTGCAAGCCTTGGAAATGTACTGACACTTAGCAGGCCTATTGCCAAATGACATACATTAATAGTTGGCAATGACCCCCACCTATACAAGTGCACATAGCACTCCCTCCTCCCCCCCTGGTCAGTTGGGACTCACCCTTTGTGGTACCCTTTTATAGACATGTACAAACAAGTCACATCACTTCTTACGTACCACATTGCCACTCTTTGTTACCTAGTTACCACCTCTCACCTTGCAGAAGGGGGTCTTACTATCCTTCATGCTGTCAACTTCGGCCCAGTCCTGAACCTAACTTGGTATGTACATTAGTTTTTGGGGAGTCGGTTGGTACCAAGATGTTTCTTATTTAAATGTTCCGCTACTCCCCTCTGCTTCAAAATCTGTATTTGATCCTTTGTACCCGGTGTCTCCCAATGTTCTTCCACAATTACTAATAGGGCCTCTTTCTTGGCTGCCATGTTACTGAACCAAAGTCTTGCTCGCTAGATTCCAGGCTTGTGGCTGTTTTTATGTTACGGGCCTTTATTCAGGCCTGCTGACTCCATGTTACCGACCCTCAACTTACTACCCGGGGCACATTTCAGAAGAGGATGAACGTCTTATTTATCCACTTTGGCTTAGTCAAGAAGGTCTTTAAAAAATCCGCCTGTTTTCCAGTACTGTTTCGTTTGACTTTTAGTTGCTTAAGATTGGAGTGTCTCCTGTAAACAATGCCTCAGTCTTAACAGAAGAAGTGCCAGAATGATATGCGGAAGCATTTTGGAAGGACTTGAGACTTGTCTACAGGGTGTCTTCAGTCCACACTTTATGATAGTTAAAGTAACAAGAATATGTATCACTCTGCCAGTGAAATCAATGAGAGTTTTGCCATTGGCTTCGGTGGGGGCAAAATCTGCACATCACTCCAGGATTTCCCTCCCTTGCACAATTTTTATTGGACAAGACATTCTGGCAGCCTATTAGACTGGCAGTTATATAGTCCTTTGCTGATGATTTTTGTTCCTCATTTAGAATTTCATCGTTCCGGCTGGTGACTTGCTGATGGCATCGCCCTATTGGTTACACAGGAATCCAAAATATTTCCCTGAGCCTGAAATATTTAAGCCTGTAAGTTATTTCTTTCAGTACATTTATTTTACTCTGTCTTTACTGTGGACTGGAAAGATGGAGCCATGTGAATGGCTGAAAGGCCAGCAAACCACGATCGAGGAAATGGTAAGAGCTCCCTGGAAGTACTTACAGTATAAATATAAATATATATTGCCTGTTCATGAAGAAAATACTGCAGTACCCCCATAATTAATTGGTCAGACCCTGCTACCACCCCTCCCTCATCCGGCTTTGATTTTTCTCTGTTTTCCCAATAATTAACTTTAAACAAATCTGAGCACTCTGCAGACCTATGTAAAACTATTAGTAACCCTATGCTAAAGTGCCAGCTATAGCACCTGGACACTGTTCCTGCAGCACAGAGGAGGCTACAGGCTTATCTGGAAGCAATTAACTATTTCTGTTGGAGAAATTAATGACACATGGGTGGCAATGTGCCCTCTAATTTTTCCATCTGTGTGCAGAATAATTTTTGTTATAGGCACCAAGGGCATATGTGTGTGTGCACCACCAGTAGAAACACTTGTTGCTGCCTGTGGATACTCTGCTAATCAGCTGGCATTTGAATCTCTCCTGGGTTGGCTGCCCAAGCACTCAGCTTACAGGGAATACTGATAGGTGCTAATTGCTGTGCTAATGAGACAATTGACTCTGTAAAATGGGAGGAACAGGCAAGGGGAGTAGGTTGTGTTTAATCCATGCTCTGTTTTGCTTAGGAACTGAAGAATAAATGTACATGTGGCAAAAGGGGAACAGCCAGGATGTGTCAGTATTGAGGATATGTCTACACTGCACACTTATTTCATAATAAGTTATTCCAGAATAGTTATTCTGAAACAGTTTATTTCAAAATAGCACATCTATGCTGCACATCTCCACTCTCACTGTACTAGTTGGGTGGGAATAATTCCCCACTTGCTCAAATACTGCAGTGAAGGGAGCAGCAGCAGCAGAACCTTAATACAACATAACTTTTGTGCATATTATGGATTCATAAGTTGACAAAATTAATCTTTTTTTTTTTTTAAACAAGTAAGGAATTTTTTACAAACCCACAGTCTCGGATCAGAGTGGCAACTGGAATTAGTAACAACAAGTTGAAAATAAATGCCATCAACAATACAATTTCATATGCAAGGATTAGCTGTACAAGGTCATTTGAGCCTGGAGAAATAAAGTTAAGCCTATTTATACAAAGTTTATTTTGAAAAAAAAATTCCCACAGGATCGTTGGGAAGAGGCAAATTTAGAGAAGAATGCTTTCTTGGACGGCTACTTGGCATTTGGAGGAGGGAAGCACCGGTGTCCAGGAAGGTCAGTGGAACAGCTGGGATTTGTTTATTCCTAAACTCTGTGGAAAACAACTTGAGTGGAGGTGATTCCTCCTTTATCTCCAAATGCATGTTAATACATTTGCTTTTTGCACCACTGATCAGTAGCATGCCATTTCCGGGGGTCTGTCCAAGCTCAGTCTATTAAAAGACTGCACACACAGGAAGGCAGATTAATCTTTTGATGGATGGGAAAGCAGCATAGAAGATTGGGAGGTTGGGTTCTGCAGAAGAGGAGTCAGAAGTCAGCCCAGATCTGCTGTTCTCCCAGCATCTTTTCATCAGTGGAAAGTTATTTTAAATACAGGATGTGCCAGTTTGAGCTCACAGCATTGGAGTGGCCATAAAACTGTCTTTGCTTTTGAAGTAAGGAATAATGCACTAATCTAAGAGCTTTTCTGCACTGGAAATTGTATAGCTATAGTCTATCTGATTAACACTCTCTGAGTATGCTCATACTGATATTAGAGGTAGCTTTTTTTTAGTTTAAATCCCTTTTTAGTTTAAACCCCTTCCCAAGTGATATAAACTAAGACAAAAACAGCCCTAATACTTCAGTAAACATGTCCAAAGGGGAGGTTATATCAATATAATTTTAAATAAACACCTATAGTTACATTGAAAAAACCTCTTCTGGAAGCAGGATTTAAATGGTTAAGAGATATCAGGAACTAAACATACAATACAATTTCTGTATAAATTATAATACTATAGTTTAACTAATGTGACCCTTTTTCTTGCAGGTGGTTTGCTCTACTGGAGATTCACATGCTTGTTATTATGCTCCTTTATAAATACCAGTTTACTCTTTTGGACCCACTACCAAAGCAGGTAACATGTAACAACATTTGACAATGTCAGTATCTGGATCGGATTGCTTTAAATGCCTAAATCTTTTACCCACAGAGCTTATCTACATGCAAAAGTTTCACTATGCTGGTGTGGAGTGCAAGCAATACAACCACACCAGAGAATAAATGCTTTTACAAATACAGTTTATTCCATACAAGAAAGTGAATAAACTATACGGCTATGTCTACACTGGCAGCTTCTTGCACAAGAACAGCTGTTCTTGCACAAAAACTTGCCGAGTGTCTACACTGCTCGCGCGTTCTTGCGCAAGTAAATTTACAGTACAGCGTCGGAAAACAGGGCTTCTTCCGGAAGAATTATTCCTTTCCCCACAATGAATAAGCCCTCTTGCACAAGAGTTCTTGCGCAGTGTAGACAGGCAACATGAATTTCTTGCACAAGAAACCCCTATGGCTAAAATGGCCATCAGAGCTTTCTTGCGCAAGAAAGTGTCCACACTGCCATAGATGCTCTTATGCAAAAGCACATCTCTTGTGCAAAAGCACATGCAAGTGTAGATGTGCTCTTGTGGAAGACTTTTTGCACAAGAACTCTTCCGCAAAACAGTTCTTGCGCAAGAAGCTGCCAGTGTAGACGTAGCCTGCTGGTATTGGGCACTTTTATGCTCATAGCACTGGGTCCAAACGATAGGTTATACTGGTAGACCCATGTTGTTTAAAAAAACCCATACATCCTTTCCCAAAATAGTGATGTTGATACACAATGTGTAGGCCAGACCTCAGTTGGAATATTTATCATTTTGGGAGGGAACATTATAAACAAAACACAAAGCCAAATTCTGCAGCCCTTCTCCCCTCCCAATGGGGAAGCAGTAGGCAGGCTGGCCCAGTCCCTAGTCCTTTATGCAGATGCTTTATTTGTGCCTGGACCAACTAGCCACATTCCTGACCCACCCACGTCCCCCTTCACAGCATGCTGTGTGAAGCTTCTCCATAGCCTCACCCTTCCACTCAGTGTAAACACCACTATGCCTTCTCTGAGCATGGACGCCTGCTCAGGCTCTGTCTGAGAATGAGGGATATGGCCAGCTAATGCTGATGGATACTTGGAGCAAAGTGGCATTCCAATGTAATTGCTGATTGCTCGGAGCTGTGGCACACATCAAACCACGTCAGGCTCTCAGTAGTGCACCAACTGTGCCACAATTCAGTGACGAGGCCCCAAGAAGTGCTAGCTTTTTTGGGTCACATTAATAAAACCTAGTCCTTATAGGCTATGTCTACACTCGCAGCTTCTTGTGTGAGAAATATGCAAATGAGGCTAAGCGTGGAATATTGTCAAGCCTTATTTGCATACCTAATGAGCCGCTATTTTTGCAGAAGAGGCTCTTGCACCAGAAGGAGCTGTCTACACTGCCCCTTCTTGCACAAGAAAAACCCTCTTGGTCAATGCTGTTATTCCTGAAAATAATCAGCGTAGCGGCATTGCGAAACAAACATGCCAAATTTCATAATAAGCTATTTTGGAATAGATTCGAAATAAGATACGCAGTTTGGGTAGCACAAATTGCATATCTTATTTCAAGTTTAGGATGCTGTGAAGACATACCCTTAGGCTATGTCTACACTGGCATGATTTTCCGGAAATGCTTTTAATGGAAAAGTTTTCCGTTAAAAGCATTTTCGGAAAAGCACGTCTAGATTGGCAGGATGCTTTTCCGCGATCGGGGCTTTTTTGCGGAAAACAGTACTATGCTGTCTACACTGGCCCTTTTGCGCAAAAGTCTTTCAGAAAAAGACTTTTGCCCGAACGGGAGCAGCATAGTATTTCCGGAAAAGCACTGATGATTTTACATGAGATCATCAGTGCTTTTCCGGAAATTCAAGCAGCCAATATAGACAGCTGGCAAGTTTTTCCGCAAAGTCAGATGATTTTGCGGAAAAACTTTCCAGTCTAGACACAGCCTTACTGTTTTAGTCTTATACTTCAAAGGTATTGGAGAATAGACCTAACCCACAAAGTCAAGCTTGATAAAGGCTCATGAACATAAATCTCACCAAATGAAACAGACATTTAAATGTACCGTGCAGTATCTTCAAATTGCAATTGACTAATAAAGAGTCCAGATATCATGCTGGTTTTACAGTGTGTACTCAGTGAAGTTACTCTTCAGAACATTAACAGTAGATTTCTCCCCGATGGGACAGATTCTTACAGTGTAAAGGTGAATATAGTGCCCTGGACTAACGCTGGGATGACCCTGTTCTATTCCCAGTTTACTCCTGGGTAACTTGGGACAGTAGCTTCCCTTTCTGTGCTTCAGTTTCCCTACCTGTCAAATGGATATAACAACACCACAACCCTCCTCTGTAAGTCACTCAGAGTGGCTGATGAAAACTAAGTAAGGGCTATTATTACACTAAGACACCTTTATACTACTCCATAGAGTACTGCCAAGTGTAATTTATTCCTACTTTAAGGGCTCTTTACACTGCTCTTAATACACGTGTATAACTTTAATCTGTATGTGTTTCTATTACTTGTGTGTGTGTGTTTTTTTAAACAGAGTCTTCTCGAATTAGTAAGGGTGTGTCACCCTGCTGGACCATTCAGAGTGCAGTATAAACTCAGGGAATGAAAGATGACTAACTCGGGTTCCTGTACCAGCAACCTCCAGACTGATGGACCATTTGGCATTTTTTCTGTTCTTTAATGAATTCGCAGTATTAAAATTTTTGATTAGAAAAAGGGTCATATGCTGAGAATGTTCAGAGTAATAGCTTTGGTTGGTATAAATGGATGTATCTCCATCGATTTTAGTTGCCTTCAGAGAAGCTTTGTCAGTTTACACCAGCTGAGAACCTGGGCCTCAGTATGTAACTGAAGGACAACGTATTGTGAACGGAATGTTTCTGGGAATATTCTGGCCTTGCAATCTATCAGCAATCTAGTCCGACTTCCTGTCTAAAGTAGGCCATAGAATTTCCCTGAAATAATTCCTGTTTGAACTACAGTGTCTCTTTTAGAAAAAAAAATCCACTTTGATTTAAAAATTGTTAGCAATAAAGATTACACCATAACCCTTAGTAAATTGTTCTAGTGATCACTTATCCTTATTGTTAACATTTTACTCATTTGCAGGATGGTGTCCCTAGCCTCTGTTTGCTAGAAGCTGGGAATGAGCAACAGGGACTGGATCACTTAGTGATTACCTGTTCTGTTCATTCTGCCTGCGACAGGTGGCATTGGCCACAATTGGAGGACAGGATACTGGGCAAGAGGACCTTTTGTCTGACCCAATATGGCTGTTATGTTCAGTCAGAATTTGTTTAATATCAGCTTCTAACCATTAGATCTTATTATGCCTTTGTCTGCCAGACTAGAGCCCATTATCAAATGTCTGAACCCCGTAAAAGTACTTAGAGACTGATCCAGTCACTCTTTAATCTTCTCTTTCTCTCTTTTTTATCAACATTCTTCTTGAGTTATGGACCTCAGAAAGGAACATGGCATCCCAGCAATGGTCATACCAGAAACAGGGGTAAAATAGCCTCTCCACTATTTAAGATTCCCCTGTTTATGCAACCCAGCATCCCATTAGCCCTTTTGATCACAGTGTCATACTAGGAGGCCATGTTCAGGCGATTATCCACCATGACACCCAAATCTTTTTCAGGATATTTGCTTCCCAGAACAGAGTGTCCCATTCTGTAAGCATGGACTTCATTCCTTTGTTCCTAGATATAATAAACACAGAGAGAGAAATAATTATCTGTAGGACTATCACTATGTCCTTGCTACTCATTGCAGAAAAGAAAATGGATTTTCTCTCTGTGACAGAGGAGACCAGTTAGGCAATTAAGACATGTAGCCTCTAGGACTTCTGTGCTGAAAGACCCTATAGAGAGGAGGAAATCCCAATTACAGTAGATTAACTCTTAGCTGCAGAGCCAACAGAACATATCATAGCTGAGTCCAGAGAATTAACACAAGGGGTATGTCTGATGCCTGTGTTAAGACAAGCCAGGTCCATAGATACAAGGCCTTTTCTGGAAACGGGAGTCAAAGTAGATTTGGGGCAGGAAGGCGGTGGAGAGAGAATTCTCAAGGAGCAAAGCATGACTCCCTGGTTTCTATCAGTAGGAACCGTATCTTAAAACTGCCTCCTGAAGTAAGGTGAGGACATGAAACATAAGGCCAGGTATCACAGGCCTGGTATGAGGCCTGAGGCCTAGGCACAATAGTCAAGACTTTGCTCAGATCAAACAAAGTCAAGTTGTGAGCAGGAAGTAAGCTTAATTGATAAGATTAAGTATAAATAAAGTTAAGGGTATCAAACAATAGAAGGTGTCAGGTACAGATTGTAAGAACATTTCAGGGGGATGGTAACAGAGCGCTTTACTGGGAGACATCTTGGTACCAACCTCCTTCCCAGCATACCAACCCAGGTTCATGACCAGATCTAAACTGACAGCATGATAGCTGGTCATCAACCCTCCGCCCTCTTGTACAAGGGAGGGGGTGGCAACTAAGCAACAGGAGGTGGAAACCTGATACGTCAGGAGTGAGATATAACTTGTTTGGACCTGTGTATAAAAGTGAACCCCAAAGAGTTGTCTTTGTCTAGCCAAGGGGGCAACGCTGAAGTCCATTGGATTGACTTCGCTAGGCCATTGTCATGGGTACACATGCATAGTGGCTAGCGGCAAGTATGTTCGCTAACAACTATTACTGTACTCAGGAGCGGCCTGAGGCCAGCTGCGGCAGCTGGCACCCCAGGCGGCAGGCACAATCGGCACCCCCACCTGCATGGCCATCAACAGCCATGACTTAATCATCAGGCGCCTGGGCACCCCGGGACGTCATCATCAGGTGCCCCGGGCCGGCGGCACCCTAGGCGACCGCCAAGTCTGCCTATGCTCACGGGTCGCCCCTGACTGTACTTTCCTTGCAATAAACCTGGCCTGGTGCCTTTATTCCCTATTTGATTTTGTGGTCTTTGGGGACTCTCTCAGAGTCTGTTGTGTTGACTAATTGCACATGTTTAACACCGTAGAGAGGGGAGTACACGCATGCGTACAGCCGAAAGTTTATCATCAACGGAGCAGATTTGTCAGGATGCCACAGTGGTGAATCCTGGTGAATACTTAGGGTTGCCAGGTGTCCGGTATTCACCCGGACAGTCAGGTATTTTCACTTCCTGTCCGGTAAAAAAAAATTCAGAGAATACCGGACACCTGAGATGTATGGTGTCTTCTGATATTTTCCCCAGCCAGAAGGCAAAAATGCAACCCTACAAACACTCCACTCCCTCCCCAAACCCCTCAGCCCCTCGACCCCATGCTTACCTGGTTCTGCAAGGCTGCCAGCACAAAATGGCTGCCGGCCAAAAGACCAAGGGGAAGAAATGCTTCCCCTGGGTCTTAGTGCTCAACCGCTCCCCTGTTCCTATCTCTGCACTCACTTTTAAAGGGGACGTGCTGTTTTAATGCTGTTTTATTTTAATTTTTTTTTTTTTTTTTTGCTCAACAAGTTTGGTCTCCCCTCCTCCCCCTTTTATTTCCTTCAACAGAATTTTTTCCAGGTTTTTTTGTGGGGGGTCTGTATGGGTGGCGGGGTGTTCTGTATTTCGTTTCAACCATCTGGCAACCCTATGAATACTACACCTCCCACATGAACTTAAAGACTTCCAGATACTGTATGCCAGGTGACTAATAAATTAATTCATGTGGTTTTTTGAGACAGCTGCTTGCTGCCACTACACAGAGTGTTATGCCCTGAAAGGGCAGAAAAAGTCTGTGGGAATCTGGCTTGGCCAGACTTGCTGCAGGGAGCGGGAGAAAGACAAGCACTGTTGGTGCCTGAAGCCCGAATTTCAAAGTAGAGATGTAAAATCCCATTAAAAAAATTAAATCCCGTGGCAGGGGGCTGTTCCAGCTCAGCGGGGCCTGCCAGGCTGCAGGCTGCTCTGGCTAGTTCAGACCAGATGAGCCCAGCCCAGCCACAGCCGCCCTCCACCTGTGGTGCAGCAGGTTTGGCCTGATCCACCACACTGCAGGTGGGGGACGGTTCCAGTCAGATCAGGTGGGCTCATCACTCTGTGCTGTGAGTGGGGGGGGCTACTCCAGCCAGGCCAGGTAGAGCCTGCTGCACCACACTGCAAGCAGGGGCTGCTCCAGTCTGGCTGGGCCCTCAGGCTGCACCAAACCTGCCACACCATGCGGGGAGTGGGGTGGGGGGGAGAAGCTGCTCTAGCTGGGCCAGGCAGGACCTGCTGCACCATGCTGCAGTGGGGGATGGCTTCAGGTAGGCCAGGCCAGGCCACCGGTTAACCGGTGACCTTGGACTGCATGCTGGTAAGGTTCATGCTTTTCAGGTAACTTGGTAACCCTTTACATCTCTATTTCAGAGTCATGTAGGCCACAGGCCTGCCCCTGAGGCATGGTGTGGATCGTTGGGGGCAGGCAAAGAAAAGGGGTTCTCTCAAAAGATTGGTTAGAGGCACGAGCATAGACCAGATCCTGTGAATCTGTGACAATGGGCATTTATATTTAGCTGTATTAAAATGCATAGCTTTTGCTTATGGCCAGCTTACCAAACAAGCCAAATGGCCCTGTATCAGTGACCTTTACTCATCGTTAATTACCACCATCTTCCTCCCCATTTTGTGTCATCACCACTGATGAAGTTTGCAGATTTTACATTTTTTGGCTGGTTCTTGATAAAGTAAAATAGCCTGGGAGCAAGAACTTGATCCTGGCAGGACTAGTGAGCAGCACACCCAACTGACGATACATCAGCATGAAAATTCATCTGCCATTTTGTCGCCCTTTCACCTAGTTTTATAGGATCCTTTGGAAGCGCTTCACAATCTGCTTTGGACTTAACTGTCTTGAGCAGTTTAGTATGATCTGCAAATGTTGCCACCTCACTATTTACTCCATTCTACAGATCATTTATGAATATGTCGCATAGGACTGGTCCCAGTACAAACCTTTGCAGGACACCACTAGTTACCTCTCTCCATTCTGAAAACTGTTATACCAAAGGTACCTAAATAGACAAGGACTCAAGGATTATACAGAGTTTAAAACAAGATCTTTTCCTGAGATAATCAGTACCAATCAGTCAAAGACACTCAGTGATACCATATGCTGCAATTTAGTGTATTGATCCTATTGCCCAGAACCATTGATAAGTGCAGGTGTGTACTACAGGACTATCCTTACCGGTGAGGTGTGTCTCATCATGATGGCCCTGCTGAAGTAAGGCAAGCTGCTAGGGCAAAAGGCCAGGTGATGGACATCCCGAGTGTTGATGGAGGATAGATGTGGTCCTTCAGGAATGAGCAGATGCTGTCTCTGTAATACATGTAAACAGACTATAAATAGCAGAGGTTAATGCAAAAATGGTGCCAGTCACAGGGCACAGCACTCACCACTTATCAGGTACCTCGCCTGATGCCTCTGGGGATTAGGTGGAGGCAGACACCCATTTCGGTGGTTGCACAATGCCATGTTCTCCTGCCAGGAATGTCAACATTCTCTGTATGACTCAGACTTCTAGCTAGATTGCTCACTGCTTTCCCCCCTTAAAAGGTGCAGGCCTCCAAATTCTCTCAACCCACAGTGACAGAGGAAGTCTCCCCATTCACTGTACCACTAGGACCACTTCCCCAAGGGCAGATGGGGCACCTAGGAACACAGGTTCCAGTCCAGGGACCCTCAATGCTGCAGTTCTAGGATTCTTCCCCCAACCCTCACTGATCCTTCCCTGAAATGTTATCTATCACTCCTGGCCCTGGGTGTGTCAACTCCAAATCTCCTCCCAGGGAGGAACTGCAGCCTACACAGCTCTGTCACTACCAAACCCTCTTCCCAGGAAAGGGCTGCCCTTTCCCAATGGTAACCTGTGTCTTTGGCAGCTTCTTGGCTTGACTGGTCCTGCCTGTTCCTACACAGCAGCACCTGCTTGCAATCAACACCCTACTCCCTGAATCTCCTTCCAGGTGCAGCCTGGAGATTTAAATAGACCTCCCTGGCTATCTTAGTTCCTTCCAGTCCTGTGTGGGGATGACACTCTGTCACAGATACTTGTTAGCCTGATAAGATTGTTGTGACATTGCACCTCCATATGTCTATGGAAGTGTGGTTATGACTATGCATATCTCATGCTAAAACAGGGCAAGTAACCTATCATTCAAGAGCCTGTTATCTCCTGAATGTGTATATTCTATTTGCAAAAATGTATCTTTCTTGTATATGAAGTTAGAAATGTAAAGTGTAAGCCTCTTTTAAATCAAGGTCTCCTAGTGAAAGCCAGCAGTGGTACTTCAGGAACTTAGTGGCTCGGTGCTCAAGACCAGAATCTGTGAATAGCCTTGTTTTTTCCTGTAAGACTAAACTGTGCTTGGTCCTACAAAGATATGTGACCATGCCACTTTGTATTGGTACTCAGTACTTGAATTTGGTATTTTGCCATGGGGGTGGGGAGACTGAGACAAAGAGTTCCCACCCTCGTGAAATTCCATTTAAGGAAAGCCATTCTGGAAAGCCAAACAACAGGAGCAGCTGCCAGATACTGTGACACCCCTGTTTATTATCTAAAATGTTTACTGCAATCACCTGGAAGGATTGGGCACAGATGAGGAAGTCTACCCAGGCTGAGAGAGAAGCTAATTAAAAGAACTTGAGGGTGAGGTTTTACATGTAACGTTTCTTAGTGTATTAAGCTTAGCGGGTAAGTTTTGTTTTAATTTGCTTAGTAACTGACTTTGAGCTTTCTTTCCATTACTTCCAGCCATTTAAATCCGACTTTTTATGCTTAATAAAATCATTTTTGTTTTAAGAAATCCAGTGTAAATAATTGTTACCAGTGGGGCACCAGCTGTGCATCTCTCTTTCATGGAAAAGGGAGTGAATGCCACAGGGGCTGTGCACCTGGGTACAGTGTGGAGTCCCTTTGAATGAGCCTTCCCAGAGCCGAGCTGATCTGTGTAGCTCTGCTGTGGGTTGTGACCCCAACTCTGCGCCAATGCTGGAGGAGACTGGAAGGTCTGGCTCAGCAGGACAGAGTAGTGGGATGCCCCAAAGGGCAGGCAGGTGAGCTCAGTGGTATTTCATCCCATCAAGTGACAGTCTCTAGGGGATCTCTGTGACTGAACCCATCACAACTAGGTCAAATACTCATAAGACAGGAAATGCTGAAACTAAGGACAGCAAAATATTTTAATGTTTTTCCAGTTTTTTCTGTCTCCACCCCCCCTGGGACTAAAGCATTAAATCTGACGTGAATTTGCAAATCATCTCAGTGTTGCCAAACAAAATTTAGCTGACAAATTTCCCCCAGCTCTACAGGCAGCCTGAATGATAGAGCTCCAGGTATCCCATTCACTGAATAAGATCTGACTTGCACACTATACATGAGGCAGGCGTGCTGTGAACTAATAGGAGTGACTTTTCTGTAAACGAGTCTGTGATTGCATAGCTAAAAGGTCTTGACAAGCCTTTGCCCAATGGAGCAAGCCCACAGCAGTGTGAAAGTTGAACAGCTGCCTTACCCTCACTTCTAAGAACTTCACTTTGCAACCTTAGTACTTCTTGAACATCATTTTGTTTAAATAGAAACAAACCACCAACTCCCTCTCAACCTCTGTGTCACTAGCTCCTGGTCATTCCTGGTCTCAGGGTCTGCTTCACGGAGGTTGTTTTCCTAAAGCTCCAATAATTGCATCAGCAAAATCATTGTGCAGCTACAAATCTTACTTGAAAGCTGCTCTCAAGGCTAAGGATCTCTATGCAGTAGCATCACCGTGTACTGCAGAGGATGCTTCGGGGAAATGTAGTTCCTCAGCCACTTGCAACACACAAGACACTCAGTTTGAGAGGAAGTTGCTGTATATATATTTGTGGCTGAGTAGTCTCACAGCTATTGGAATTTAATTGCTAGCCCCTAGCTATGAAGATAGATAACCACAAACGTTTGCAGCTTGAGTTAAATTTAAACTGCTGTAAATCTTTTCCTGCTCACTGATTAGAAAGCAACCCCCCACCCCCGCCTTTTCAGAGTGGGCAGAACAATCTGGCTGTGTCCTTTGGAGTCTGGGTTCCATGGCAAGAATCAGCTTGCGACATTGATAGGATAGATAGGCTTTTTCCACTGGCCTGGATTGAGCATGGGCAATCTTTCAAGCTGGAAACAGCAGCAGTCAGTCCAAAGGAGCAGCTCCCCAGTCAGAGTACAGGAAAATGGACATAGCTCTGGCTATTCTGTTGACCTTGCTTCTGGGACTTCTTATGGCCAAGCTTGCTTTGTTTCAGCCAAGAAACCGAAATTCTCCGCCTTGCATTAGTGGCTGGATCCCTTGGTTTGGAGCTGCCTTTCAGTTTGGGAAAGCTCCCCTGGAGTTTATAGAACAAGCCAGAGTCAAGGTAAGAATTATAATAGGGTACATGCATCTGTGTGTTGGTGAGAGAGGAGGAGGGAAGGATTTCTGGGGCAGTATCAAGAGACAGATGAGGGAGCTTTCTGCATTAAGTTAACCCCTTACACCATTAATAAACTTTCTGTCACTTTTATTGTAACTCAGAAGCCTCTGGGTGAAAAAGGGGATATTTATGTCAGCTGATTGACAGGTTACCCTAGGTACCTTGTGCTTGATGTTACACTCACTGTATTCACACACTAGTACCTGAGGACCTTCTCTGGTCACACAATACTAGGAGGGTAGTGTAGACATACCCTGAGGACCTTCTCTGGTCACACAATGCAGGCAGCTTTCTTTCTTAGCTGGGTACTGATCTGGGTCCCAGGTGAGAGGAAGCACTGAATGAAGTGCGTCAGGACTGTAAAAGTTTGTGTGAGCATATTATGTGAAATTTTACCTAACACATAATCAGTAGTGCCAGCGTCATGTGTTCACAAACCACGGGGCACCCCCTAAAGTCAGGATATTTTAAAAAAATAATACATTGGGGAGGTTTTTAAAATTTTCCTCCTTTTTGAGTCCTTTGTGTTCCTGTGCTCTGCAATGAGTTTTACAAACTTGGTAGGGTATGTCCCCCCACTTTCCCAGCTTATCCCATGAAACCTGAGGTTAAAACATAATCTCATGACTCCATGAGCTGGATCTTTAAGGAAAAACTACCAACCATTGCACAACTGGCAGTAAAATAAAGCTTTCAACAGTGTGTTCAGGAAGAACCCCACAAGTTCCTGCAACCTAGCTGAGCTGCAGAAATACTCCCTGGCTTCTGAGTGCATAATAATAAATAAATCAACCCTAATGTTGCATAATTGTAAATTTCTCCCTCAGATCTCTTATTACCTCTCATGTAAATTAAACATCAGTATTAGAGCAGGTGCCTGCAGGACCAGCTTAGGGCCAGGTGAGCATGGCAGTTGCTCCTCAACTTGTGCCTCTCTGTATTTCAGTTGCCTTGTGTTTCCTGCTGCTGCTACACTCCTGGTCAATTATTAACTGTGCTCCCCAGGGGTGGACTTTAGGTTTCTCAACCTGTTGCTTCCTCCCCATTGTGTTTGATCAGCATGTCTGTGGGTCAGTGAGGTCTCTTGTTGACTTCTCTGTTTCTTTTTGTACATCTCCTCCTCCCTCCCCCTTGGTTCCCTTGCCATTATGGTTGCACATCTCCGTGCTGTTCTTTTCAGGGTCGTATTGCTTGGTGTCTAATTGTTACAGCCCTTTGGAAGGCAGGTACACTGTTGGCAGCAGACTTTGCCTCTTAGCAGCACTAAAACATGAGGGGATGTTCTGTCAAAAGCTAGGGAATCGCTCAGTTTCCACGCCACAGTTTAACCCCTCCCTCCCTGCTGAAACCACTACTGACTGGAAAATTACTCAAAGGAGACAGGATTTCTGGTCAGAGTAGGCAGAGGAAAGGTCCCCTTTTCCTTTCCCCCAGCTTCAGTGAAAGAGCAAACAAACCTTCATCCCCCACAATGGAGAGAAAAGCTCCTACAATAAGGGCAAACTTGTGAAGTCATATTTCACATAGGGACACAACATAACTCCAGCATTAAGCTTTAAAGGTCCCAGATTCAAAGCTGTCTCGTGGCGGTTACACATCCATGCTACCAAGCCTGTTATTCTGGAATAAGCGGACGTGGAATTCAAACTCTGTAGTCTTGCTTTTCATGAGGAATGTTTTTCTCAAAAGTGTAAGTCTGAAATACCATTAGTGTGGATGCTCTGGTACTGCTAATTTGAACTAATTAGTCTCTGGGAGGCCTCCCTAATTTGAACTAATTAGTCTCTGGGAGGCCTACCTAGGGCTCTGAGTCCAAGGTAGTGCATCCACATTACAGGAACCTGCCTCAGACTAATTCAATTCTTCCCTGCACTGTGTCCACATTACAGGAACCTGCCTCAGACTACATTCAATTCTTCCCCGCACTGCGGACACGGAACTTTGAATGTGTAAAATCAGGTGCCCAGAAGTCAAACTTAGTCTGAATTTACTAATCTTGAGGGCTATGTCTACACTCGTGGCTTCTTGCACAAGAAGTCTTGCGCAAGAAAACATCCAGACTGCCATGTGCGCGCTGTGCATTTGTGCAAGAGCTCCCATGGCAGTGTGGACACTCTCTTGCGCAAGAAAGCTCCGACAGCCATTTTAGCCATAGGTCTTTCTTGTGCAAAAAATCCCTGCTGAGCATCCACATTGCCCTCTTGCGCAAGAGCTCCTGCGCAAGACGGCTTACACCTCTTAAAAAGAGCATAGCTCTTGCGTAAGAAGCCCTCTCTTACCACGCCATACTGTAAATTTCCTTGCACAAGAGCGAGCGGGCTGTGTGGATACGCTGTGGATTCTTGTGCAAGAAGGGCTATACTTCGACAAGTAGCCGTGAGTGTAAATATAGCCCAAGTGTATACATGGCCAAAGGGACTTCCACTGAGATTTAGCATTCAGTGGCACTCAGGGGGAAAAAAGCAATCACCATGGATACGGAATGAAAAGGCCTCCGAATAAAGAAATGTGATTATTTCATGACCTGAGAGCTGCCCAGCTGGACTATTGAAAAGAGACCCGGGACTTGCAAGGAGCAGGGTATTGGATGAGGAGAAGGGGGTTTGATGTTTGAGCTGGGAATATTTGAATGTGTGGGTACATATATTAAAGGTGTGCAAATAATAAAGTTTAAAGGGAACACTAGCCTGTGAAGCTATTAGCTGGTGCATGTTGTGCTCACCATGAATGTATAACCCACAGGGAATAAAAAAGATGCAAGCTCTGAACTGAGACAAAAGTAGGTCAGTCAGCATGGCCGTTTTTGCAGTTTGAATCGCCTAGAATAAGGAAAGTTTATTGCAGAGCCTTGACTGGGCTTTGAAATACACGTCTGGTCAACAGTAGCTGTTGCTTAGCCCCGCTTTGCTCTGCTCCTAAAGTAACAGGGGTTTATGTGTCAACAACATCATCTATGTTCCCAGAGATTCATTATATGTTTGATTGTCACTATGTGTGTACTTAATATATTGTTTGATTTCTCAGTATTTTTGTTACCGTGTTGTGAAAACAAACATTGTCTTTGAAGCAGTTTATTCTGTGTACTGAAGTCTTGGTGGCCACATACAAAGGGATGCAGTTTAAAAGGGCGATGTTCTTTTTAGGAGAAAAAGATAACCTTTCTCTAGGCTTTCTTTTTCCATTGTTTCTCCGTGACAATTCTTTTTCCTGTCTTTTCTCACCTTGATCGGGCACATTTCAGAATCAGTAATATTTTTCTAATAGAAAATCAGTGTTTTCCTATTTGATAAATGCTGGTGGCTAAAGCAAAAAAATCTTAACATTTCTCTTCTCCCTTGAAAGATCATCCCAAATTGAACATACAGTAAAGACTGTGGGGACACAAGCAATTATGTTATCTGTTCTTTATTGAGTTCCTTAAAACAGAGCTAATGTCTAGTACATCTACACTACAAAGGAAGATTGAAGCTGCCACTGTCTGTCTGCCAGGATTGAATGAGCAGTCTAGTGAAGACAGCTAATTCAAAGTGAGAGAGATGCTCTGGTCAATGCCGGTAACCCTGCTTCCGTGAGGAGTAAGGAAAATCGAAGGAAGAGTGTCTTTCCTTTGACTTCCTGCAGAGTAGAGAGCACCAAAAGCCGAGTTAAACCACTTTGACTTCAGCTACACAATTAATGTAGCTGAAATTGTGTATCTTAATTTGACTTTGTCCTGTAGTGCAGCCATACACTTAGACCGTGGGCAAATAAGGTCCTTTTGGCAAATCATCTCTGGCATAATACTGCAAATTATACAAACCATAGCTACTAGAGATCAGAAGCAAAGGGGGGAAACCCCCATGAACACCAGTAACCTTGAGTAATCTAGCCATTAGTAGGCAGTGAATCCAAACAGTGTTAACATCTCACTTTAAGATGTCTAGCTTTTTGGGTAGGGGTGGGAGGGTGAAGACTCAGGGTTCCTTGATACACTGTAGCATGAACTTTTTTTAGGAGCAAAAAGCATCAGGCCATTTTTTTAAATGTTGCCCACCAAAACATCAGACGTTGTCATAATGAATGTACACATTTTAGTATCTCAGCCAGGGCCCATTGAAGTGAATGTGTAATATTTTAAATAGAGATGCGGGGGTAAAAAATATTTTAAATAAATAAAGTTTTAAATAAATGTGTAGCCCACATAGCTAGTGTGGTCCATTGTCCCATGGAGTGGCACTTAGACTAGTTACAGCGAGAGATAAGTACAAGGGAGCTCTACAGTATAAGCTGACAGCGGGCTGACTTTATAGCTCAAGCTGTAGCAGCTTCTCCACTAAGCTCTGAAGGTCCCACCTTCAAATCTATCCTGTGGCAGTTACAAATGGAAACTCTGTAACTGATTTCGGTGAGGTCTGGCACATCTCCTTTTTGTTTAAAAATAATCACTAATATGGAGGCTGTTGCACCCTTATTAAAATATTTTGTGAAAAGCTTTAAAATCTGTAAGATTCCTGTTCCTTTTTAGGGGACTGCTTGTTTTTTAAAAAGGACCGTCACATAATTTTAAAGGTGATTGTTAATTTTACCTTCATTTATAGTAAGAGAGTTCTCTCTCTCACAAATCTTTACTAAAATTTCACTGAAGAAAGGCATAGTATTGTGCAAAACAGACACAAACTACAGGGGGCCATGTTTACATTTTTAGAGCTTCATTTCAAATTGTGATCATTGTTACCTTTTTAAGGAAACAATCGAGTGCTTTCATATTGTCACTGTATCCAGCAATACCATAATGCAGTGTTAGCTTAATACACAGATATATTAAACAGTACTGTGCAATCTACTTTTTACCGTTTTTCTGCAATTAATAGGATTTTTAAATCATATAAAATAAGTACTCAGCTTTGACGAGACATTAAGCAAATGTTGTTTGTGTTTGGCTTCATGCTAGAACTTGCAACATC